TTGCTGTCGAGCTAGAGAGAGACAGAGAGATAGAAAGACGAAGAGAAAGAGAAAGAGGTGGGGGCGCCACGGACGTGGACCAGTTCAGTTATTGTCAACAGGATGCGGCAAATATGCCACTTTTATGGCACGCTTCCGTATCCGGAACCCGCCAGCGAAGGTGGTGCTGAACAGTGCTCGTTCCCGACTCTTCCCTGCCGCCCAGCCAGGGGTTGGGAGCTTGGGAGAGGTAACAAGGCGGATATAGTTGGTAAATTACGGTGGCAACCTGTGCAGCGACTCGCAGGATGCACAGCCAGCCAGCCAGCGCAGGGAGTGGCAGCGCGATATGCAAAAGCGCAAAAGTGCCAACGCACTGCACTTGGGCCATGCCATGCCACTGCCACTGCCACTCGCTCCACTCGCGCCACTCGCGCCACTTGCCCCACAGTAAGACAAGATGCTGGATGAACTTGAGTCTGAACAAGGAACCTTTAATGCCCTTCGCCAAGCCGACTTATCCATTGGACCATTTTTTTCCACCGCTAAATTGCCCGAATAGCCCCGTAGCCATGAGTTTTCCACCAAGTTTCATCCATGGGAAGATTGGAGAACTTTTGAAATTTGGTTTGGAAATCTCGAGGAGCTCTCCTTGACGTCGTAAATGGCCCGATAAGGTGGCGGCGCGACCTCGATTGTGAAGAGTATCGAATGGCAGGACGCTCGCTCGTCTGCGGGAATGGGTACGGCAACTGGTGCGAGTGCGAGTGCGAGTGCAAGTGCGAGTATCGATAGCAACAGTTGCAGTTGGTAGCAGCGGGTGGCGATGGCGGGGGCGGTGGGTGCAGGAAGTGGCTAGAAGTTGGCTGCAGCTGGCGGCAGCTGTTGGTGCGGCATTTTTAAGTTTTACGTGTGGCACGTGCTGCAAACCGGGGGCAGCCAAGGATAGGAGGAATGCAAAAGATGCCACACAGCAACTGAGACTCTAAGACTGAGACTCTGCCACACGTGCGCGTCCTGGGCGCGTTGTTTTTCCACTTTTTTCATGACTTTCAACAGCGCGTAAAACTAAAGAAAAACTGTCAGACCAGCGCGCTGCAGAGCTGCAGAGCTGCAGCGCTGAGGTGGAGCGGAGTGGAGTGGTGTCAAGGTGGCACTTTAAGCTGCGGCTGCGGCTTCTATGAGTTACGGACCGCCAGCAATCAGAGCAGCTGCGTAAGTGCAGCTCCCAGTGCAGTCCCAGCGGTGAGCAGAGGATGATTGGAAATGTGGGCCACTGCGACAGTTACCAGCTACCAGAGTGCCAGGAGGACAGGACTGGCGTCCACCAGTCCACCAGTCCACCAGTCCGCATAAGAAAGAGCTCGCGTTCGAATCCCACTATATATTCAAGTCAGTAAAAGAATTTAGCAATAATTCAGAGAGGTGAAAGCAGCATAAAATATATCGGAATTCAAATGTGGATCGCAGATGATCCGAGACAGCCTTTAACTGCCTTCCATCAGCACTCACTTATGCATGTAATATCCTGTCGTTGGGCACGTTCGAGCGACTCAATTCCGGGCACTTGTCCTTCGAGCTGGCAGGACAAGTGCTGGCTGGGACATTACAAAGCGATTGACCGGAAGAGGACACGGCACGCACGCAGGACACTTGCGGCCACCGCACGAAAGAGTAAAGTTTGCCGAAGAGTTGCCAGCTGCAGCTGGCGAGGAGGAGCAGGACCTCAACTCAAGGAACTCAAGGAAGGTCCTCCTGCAGAGATTTGGAAGCGTCAAGCAAACACTTCGAAGGGCAACTAGAAGTGGCAAGTCGAGTTGGTTTGCCCAAAGCTGGGTCCAAGCAATCGTTAGTAGATGCGACAGCACGGGGACCTTAAAGCGCAACTTTTCCCCCATTCCCCATTCCGATTCGGGCAAAACTTCTTATGGCCTTCTTCTTATGGTAGTGGTAGTACGATAGTAGCATGCAGGAGAGTATGCGCTTAAATTATGCGGCATTCATAATGCAACAGAGTCGAGGATGTGCCATCGTACTCTTTGACATATTCCTTCCAGAAACTGCTGCTAAAACTTGGCAACAACCAGGCGCCGAAGGAGGATGTGGAGGCAGGCATTAAATTTTATGCACATTCCCCCATATACACACCCATATCCATACCCATACCCATGCCCATACCCCGTTTCCTTACTCCAAGAGTCCATATCCTGGATGACTGCGCTGTGGAGCTCGCTTAAGCCCAAAATAATGCCCAGGCTTCTGGCCCATTATTTCAGCGAATTTTCTGTTGCACATAAGTGTGCTAGTTGCTGCTTCTTTTCCATCCTTTCTTCCTCCTTTCCACTGCTTTCTCTTGCCTCTTTCATATTCTATTTTATTTAAGAACTTTTCCGCGGCAAAGGCAAAGTCAAAAAATTTATTTAAAGTTCAAAGTTGCCTCCTCTTTGTATTTTATTTTACGGCACTTTTGTGTACTCGCTCCGCTCGAATATTTAAGCTCGCTCGCGATTTTTGCGGCATTAGGAGAGTCTCTGCTCCGCAGATGGAGCTACCATATCAAATTGGTAGCTTCCAAAAGGAAGTTCGGATCGGATGACTTCCTACTTCCTGCACAATGTTCTCAAGCTACATACATAGATACATTTTTGATTTACAATAAACATTGCATTGTTTGATTACTCCGGACCCACGACCCATGACAAACATATTGAATATTGAGGAAGGGGCTAGGACATACGTATCTCTGGAGTGTCCTCGTCCACCCCCACCCACACCCCGACCCACGATATCGATGTCGATGTCGGTGTCGTTGTGGATATGCATTGTTGCAATGAAAACCTAATCTATTTTTGATGAATCGCAATTGTAAATTTCAACAATGGTAGTGAACCCAACGCTTCAAAGAGCTTCAACGAATTATTGTGTACAAAATACTCGTACTCGCATATTTGTGTATGAGCTTTTGTGCAGTATGCCCTGATATTTGTCTGTCATCGATCCCATTAGCTTTTTAATAGATTATGAAATCTATTGCACATAATAACTGTTTCGTGAATGACAGAGCTTCCAATTATGCGTTTCAATGCGATTTGACATCCAGTCTTGACCGGAAATTCTCTATCTCCTGTGTCCCATTTCAGGGAGATCTAAAAACCAGAGATATGAAATGTCACTTTATAGATGAGTATTTTAGGAAGAACACCAGATCGGTATTATGGGTATTCCCTGTCTAGCTGCAGGGTGTACCAATGTCTGCAATGAGGGCTCCAAAAATGCCCTTGCTGTCCTCTCGGCCGGGAGCATTTTTTGTGTGCTGTTCGTTATAGGAGTATTCCAGTCCATAATGCAATTGAAGTGCTGGGCCATATGTGCGCGCGGGGTTTGTGTATTGCGAGGAGTAGTAGTTGGCCATTGTGGGGGATACTTTTGGCCCTCTATTGATGATGATGATGCTGCTGATGCTGATGCTGATGCAGATGCTGATTTCGTATGCACAAAAACAGCCGAGTGGCAGATAGAAATTGTCATCAATAAAATAAATTGTTGTATTATTTTCGTTTTATTCAGTGCCCCCGCTGTTGTGTCCCGCCCCGTTGTGTTGTGGCATATGCAGTTGTTTTGCGATTGTCTGACAAAATTAACAGAAAATAAAATTACTGCTTACATCCTGCTGCCCCCCTGTATCGCTTGTCTCCTGTTGGGAGTGCACTGCATAAATCATGAGCCGAGAGAGAGAGAGAGAGAGAGAGAGAGAGGGGGAGAGAGTGAGTGCATCATGTGGGACGCTTGGTCCTGCGAATTGAGTCAATTGTGTGGAAATTATGGATGCATGGGGATGGATATGGATAGTGCCATCGATATAGACAGAAAAGTCATTTAAATTCATCTTTCTTTTTGAAATAAATACTCAGAGTGCAGCAGAGCTCGGAGTAAATACCGAATCCAATCCCATCATAATACTCGTAGTACACACAAAAACACAACAATTAAATGCATTCGGGGCGTGTCCTGTAATTAATAATTTATTGACTAATTGGATTATGATTTGCACACTCGCCAAACACTGCATGAACGCTTTCGCTTCGCATCGCTTTGCACCGCTTTGCATGCCAGACCTTATCAGAAGAGAGCTTGTTCGAAACCTACTGTGACTGACATGGAATTTGGCTTTTTAGTGGTTTTTTAATGAGATTAGAAATGCGCTGCGCCCTTTGTCTAATGACATCAAGTGCAGCGTGTTCGAGTGTTTGATATGCGGCTCGAATGGAATTACAAAAACATTATTCGCATCATTGGAAATTGTTTCTATTTAAAAATGAAGCAAATAAGCATGACATTCCTGATATTACGACTGGACGATACCTCTGGCTACTACCAATAATAATTTCATTTACAGGATTCTTTTTGTATTCGAATAGATTTAAATATTTATACTAATAGATTTGCGCCGAGGGTGGAAATGGTAAATAATGTATAAAATTAATATGATAATTTGGTCGAAGTGTACATATTTCATATATATTTCATACTAAAAGTAAATATTTTCATATTTAGATTAAATATATTTCCTGCAAATCAAAGTAAATTGTACATTTCACGGATTTTTCTCCCTTTGAGGCTTCAATAGTTATTGAATAATCCTTCATGCCTATTAGACACATCTGTGTGAAATTTTACAGGTTCGTTTTATAAATATGTAAATTTTAGTTTTTGTAATATTGTTAGTAATTAATTAATAATTTAATTAATTTAATAAAACTCAAGTATTGTGATTTGAGATCCAAAAATTTCGAGTGCAGCCTATCACTGTTTTCTCCATGGGTTCCGGGAATTCTTGGGAGTTCCTGGAACGAAGCTGCGGGCCAAGCGATAAGCCGAGCTGGGGTCCGCTCCCAAGAATAATCGCTACAATTATCGTCGGAATACTGTGCAAATATTGCTGAAGCATTGAACATAAATAAATAGCCCGAGCTCGCAGAGATTCGCCACAGTTATATTGCGATATTTGCCCCGTTGAGATCGCAATGAATTTGCCCCGGAGTTATTTGGCCTTTCATCTCCTTTTGCTTCTGCTCGGGATCGCTTGCGCCACTGCCCGGGTGTCCATGGCGGAATGGAACGCGTTCAAGGAGAAGTACGGCAAGCGGTACAACTACAATGACAACATACGCCACTATGGCATATACAAACGGAGAGCAGTGGAGGTCCAGGAGCACAACAGACGATTTGCAGCGGGCGAAGTGGGATACGAGATGGGACTCAACGAGTTCTCCGATACCAAGCAGAACCTGCTCGCCTTCCGAACGAATGGCGCCGAGCCCGAGGCAGATGCTCCCACACAAAATCTGACGATTCCGTCCAACTACAAGTATTACGATCAGATAACGGACGGAAAGGACTGGAGGGAGTCGGGATGTATTTCGCCGGTGGGCAACCAGGGCACCGAGTGCCTGGCGTGCTGGGCCTTCGCTGCTTCGGGGGCCATCGAGGCTCATCTGGCACTGAAGAATCATCGGCTGGTGGCGCTCTCTCCTAAGCACCTGCTCGACTGTACGAACGGGCCCAGCGCCAAATGCGAGGGCGGGTGGGTGAGCGTGGCGTTCAACTACACCAGGGACAATGGCATTGCCACGAAGGAGTCCTATCCGTTCGTGCCATTGAGTGAAGAGTGTCGCTACGACAAGTCAACTAGTGCGGGCAGGGTGCGTGGCTATGTGACCCTGAGTAATGCCGATGAAAGGGAACTCGCCGAAGTGGTCTACAACATTGGCCCCGTCGCCGTCTCGATCGACCATCTGCATCAATCGTTCCAGAACTATAAGAGAGGTGTACTGAAGGATGAAAACTGTAGATCGGACAGGGCATCGCTCCGTCATGCCGTGCTGGTGGTGGGTTTTGGCACCGACGCCGAGTGGGGCGACTACTGGCTGATCAAGAACTCCTATGGCACATCGTGGGGGATAGACGGATATCTCAAGTTGGCACGTAACGCGGGAAACATGTGTGGCGTCGCCTCCATTCCCCAGTATCCGCTCATATAACTCTGTCATATTTTAAAATAAAAAATGAAGAATCAAATATACATACGTACAAATGTGTGTCCTCCTCTTTCAGTTTTCTGGCGGCTCCGTTTTTCGTACTGGCCAGCTGTCGTTTAGGGCCGGCCATCAAATAAAAGAGTTCATTTGACCATTTAATACTTTTGGCCCGCCACGAATTGCCCAAGTGTTTTGAGGGTCAGGGGACTACCATAATCTCGGATTGCTGGCCCAGGAGCCGCCGCACAGAAACCCAATAATTGACACATAAATAACTTTAAACAACTTACTTACAAGCCCTGGGCTCGGGGGAGATACGAGTATCATGCCTGCCTGCACACTCTCCAGGCCCCAGACTTCAGGCTTTGGCCAGGGGCACGGGCACGGGCACGGGCACGGGTACGCCCACACAATCTTATTAAAAATGTCCCCGGATAATACAAGGAAGGCTGCGAAGGAGGAGGAGCGGAGGAGCGGAGAGCGGGTCGGGGCCATAGTTGGCTCGCATGTTTGTGCAACTTTTAACTGCCACCGCTGGGATAAATCATAAAAGGATATTTCTGTGCCAGCCCTGAATGTGGAGTGGAGGACCAGCTGGACAGGGGGGAGTTGGCTGTGGGGACTGGTGGCCGAGGACTGGTGGGGCTCACTGTCAGGGCCATTACTTGGCTGGAAAATATTTTTACAAGCTCTGCTTTTAATGTGGCCAATTGGCGTGGCTTTTCCTTGGGATTGTCTCTCTTTGTATCTGCGTATTCTTTGTGCCATTTATTGACATTTCTCTGGCACTTTGCGTGGAGAAGAAACTACTTTGAGTGGACGTGGACCTTTGGAGACTTACTGCCTGTCCCAGAAGCCCCAGAAGCCGAAGTCCTTTCAGGTCGCGGTCACTTTGATGGCTCATAAAAGGATCAATAAACTTGGGAGCGCCCACAGGTGTTGGCCCAAAGGCCACAAACAAACTTTAGGTCGTTGAAATAGAAAAACATCATCTCCTTCGGATCGCATTTGTCGGTTTGCTTTATTCCCGAAAAAGCCCCACCAGGAGACAAAAAGGGAAACTCTCGGTACGGCAAAAATTCGACTGCCACTCTCTTCTACATTGTGGAACATGCAAAACAACTTCCGTTGCCTGTGGCAGCTGAGGCATGCCCCTGCAAAAAAAAAAAACGAAAAAAGAAAACCGAAAGAAAACAACAAGGGAGCAGTTCCACTGTACAGTGGAAAACTCTATAATTTCAGTGTAAATTTACTGATATTATGGGAATATTTTACACTCACTTTATTCCATAATATATGTATGTAGTGTTATGATTTATGCAGGATATACAATACAGCCTCTACGTAAGCGCTGGGATCCCCCAAATTTGCTCGCACTTGTCATGAGTGATGAATAAATATAGAGAGAAACCACAACCACGAGTGATGTTCTAACGATAATTCTTTTACTCCGCTCTTCACCTAACGACCAATTTGATTAGAACAATACTATATTTTCTCTGTTTCCATTTATCTCAAAATTTTGTATTACATCTGTGTCTCTTTTCTTGAGGGACCTCTAAAATTTGATTTGTTCATTCTGGCTATAATAACGATCCGAAGTGATTATTGTGACCTGATATGATCTGATAACATTATGATCATTTACGATCTACGAATCAGCTTTTTCCTTTTTTTTTCTCTCGTAACACTGTAATATCACAGGAGTCTGGAGACAAAATTTGATTCCTCTAGCTTTTGTAGTCTCTGAGATCTAGGCGCTCATCGATACGCACAGACAGACAGACATAACTATTCCGACTCGGCTATTGATGCTGATGAAGTATATTCTTATATACTCTTTGGGTTGGGAAACGCTTCGCACTGAGTACCTATCGGGTAGACTTATTTTTGAGGGCATTTCCAACGTGCTGAGCCCACTGTTGGCTCTGCCTACCCCGACCCAAAATTTCAGTTCTCGCGGTTTGTTTGCGGTTGTGTGCTGGTGCTCGCGCCTCTCTTGGCCACGCATTGGGAAATGGGGAACTGGGGAACTGGGAACAGAATGAAAATGTGTTGCATATGCAAGAGGCGCCCCGACACGCACGACAAAGAGGCAGGCCAACAACAGTTGCAACAGAGGCAGCAACAGCAACACCAACAACAACAGCAACAGCAAGAGGAACAGAAGTGGCAGCAAAAGCCAAAGATGTTGATGAAGCACTGACACAAGTGACGACGTTGGCGGCTCGAGTTTGATTGAAAATTTGCATTTGGGCCTGGCTGACTCTCTTCTGCTATGGCGCCTTCTCTTTGGGCCAACCCCACCTCCCCATCTTCTGCGTCTTGGGCGGGGCGGTACGAAAAGTTTGCAGCCACTGACAGCTGTCAAATAGATGTAGCACGGTTTTGTGGCTGTGCCTCGGCCTTGGCGGCAATGGAAGACAATTTTGCGGCATTTTGAATTGTAAATTTCTCGCGTCAAGTGCCAACGAAGAAATGGCTGTTGCCCGAATGAATGAAGCGGTGGATGAATGGATGGATGGATGCATAGATGGATGGATGGATGGATGGATGGATGGTTGCTTGGTTGTCTGTCAAGTGCGGCAAACTACTCGTACTTTTGGCAGCTCCTTCGTCACATGTGGCTCCACAGAGTGGCGTCACCTGGCCCAACACGGTATACGGTATAGTATCCTCCCCATCCTCCCCATCCTACCGCTCAACCGCCCTACCACCCGCCTCTGTTTGCATTCATTCATTCCACTAAAAATGCAAAATCTCTCCAAAATTTCCCGTCGTCACTGCAACTGCAATGCAATTTACACTTGAATACGAAATGTTGCGTATGTTGTTCCACCCAAAAAACCCAAACGCCAAACAAAAATACCAAAAAAAAAGGAGAAAAAAAAAAATAAGGAAAGAGGAAAAACATAAACCTGAACCCGAACCCGAATCAGAACTTTTGGGGATTCCGGGAATTGCGATGAAGGGGCAAATTCCGGGTGCTTGCTAAGCAACAAATTTCTATGCGAAAAATGCTAAAATTCTCCGCACACCCCCAACCCCCCACCCGGATCCGTAGCCGTACCCCCAGCCCGGTACTCGATTGCAATTGCGCATATTAATTGAAAATTTCTCACGCAAAAAAGACTCTGCACTCCACAGTAAATTGGTCCACTTCCATAGCCCAGCCCCCTCTCAGAACGAACCCCAAAGGCTGCATGCATAACAATGCGGGGAGGAGGGTGGAGGGAGGAGCGAGGCAGGGAGTATATGCCGCGATTGGGTTGTACAAATCGGTATTACTTTGGCCAAATGGAAATGCTAATCAAAATATGCAAAGACTGATCGATGTGCGCGCAGAATGATGATGGACCTGGTCAAAATGCAATGGAATATTTTCAGCAAAGCACTCGCAATCGCACTCGATCGATGCCTGTCAATTATTTGTATTTGCACAGGGACATTTGTCCAACGATTTTGGCCAAGAACTAACCAAATTACATGCAATTTGCTGCCCAAGAGCTTACTAACTCTAAGCCTCATTTAAAAATTACTCGCTTCAGCTGGCTTGCAACAGCCACAGCCACAGGCTAAGTGCGAGTGCGAGTGCGAGTGGCAGTGCCAGTGCCGGCTTCCTTTCTTTCATTAGCGGAGTAGAAGGAGGAGGAACCTGGCGCTAATTTTGGCCAAAAACTTTTAAATGTTCACACTCCGAAGAGCCGTGTGTCCAGCAGGGCACTCTTTCCGAGTGCTGCAGACAGACCCAGACCCAGACCCGGGGCCACATCCACAGTTGTGCACCCTCTAATCATTTTAACAGCTGCCAATCATCATTAGTGCTGGTGTGCCGTGCCGCTCTGTGCTCCAGGATTAGGGATTGGGGATTAGGGATCGTGGTGTGAACGTGGTTTGACTCCTCGTCTGTCGGTTGCTGTCGGTTTAGCCACTGACTGGAACTGGGGCTGGGATGGGGGCCCGTCGAAATTTCAAAGCCATTTACAAGCTACAACTATAAAACCGCCAATTAGCAACGCGTTGCCAATAAACTAAACAGCGTGGGAGGGCGCCCACAATTCCGATTCTGTCGTCAAACGTAAGGCGAGGTAGGGCTACGGGTATTCCAGAATTTCTTTTTCCGGCTCGCTGCACGCTCCTCTCTCCCAGCACCTGCTCCTGCTCCTGTTCCTGTTCCAGTGCTCCTTTCTCCTCCTTCCTCCACATGTTAGCCGGGCGTTTTTAAGCCAATTCACCAGACTAATCAGTATAAACCACTTCAAAGCAACTGCTGCTGCTGCTGCTGCCACGTCGACGGCGGCGGCAACAAATTTCCTTCTTTGTAATGCGCCGGGGATGTGCGCGAATTCCGATGTGTCTGCCGCGGTACTAAAGCCCGGCCCGGCCCGGCCCGGCCCGGCCAGTCGTACAACCCGTAGTCGATATAAAATGCTGCTCGAATGTGTAGAAGCTATTTGGCCATTTTACTTCCCCTTTTCGTGTGATGGAGGCCATCAAAGCGGGTATGCCCCTGCCTCTGCCTCTGTGGCTCCTCTGTTGCAAGGAAAGACAGAGAAAAGAATGAAATCGTGCGGTTCTCTCAACGAAAGAGCATTTCCAGTTCGAATCGGGAGCCCATGCGGCACACCCTTCTCGCTGTGTTAAGTGGTCCCTGGCAAACGTGTTAAAATGTGTAATTTAATTTCGACAGCCAGCGAACCTCATTTCTCTCTCAGACATTTACAGCCGCACTCATGTTGAGATTTAAGCGCAAACTTCAAACAAATTTAAGGGTCTTCTGGATGGCAGCTAAGCCGGTCGAAAAAACTTTGGCCAACGCCTGTCCCAACCAACCAAAAATAAGCAACGGACAAGCGGAAAAAATCAGCATTGACAACTGGCAGAGCGGGGGGTTTGGGTTCCAGCTCTAGTTCCAGTTCCAGGCCGGGTCCCGAGACGAGACTCAACTTTTGGCGGCCATATGTCAATTTGCTGTTACAACTCGTTCACTGGGACGACGCTGGGACGACGCTGGGACGACGCTGGGACGACGCAGGGACGACACTGGGAAACTCCGAGAG